CACTGTGCTGTTGTCCACTTTCTCTCTGGTGGTGTTTAATCTCCTCAGCTTTGTATGGTAGCAACTTTTTTGACCTAAAATGAACCGCAACAGAAATCACCAAATATGTTAAGGTTATATTTATGGTCAAACATGTCTGGTCCTGAAATGTCCTACCCCAAATCTCTCCAAATTGACTTGGTGGTGTTTAATCTTCTCAGCTTTGCACTACGAATAAACAGCTATTCTAAACAAAAGTTTTCTATACCCTTTGCCATCATTGATTTAATAAGCATGTACGCAGTTTTCGTAGTTTACGCAACCACGTCCCCTAGGGTCACAGATTTCGATGTGACCTATCATGCCTAAAACAAAGAATTAAATTATTGAAGTGACGATCAGGCACGGGTCGGGTGCGGATACATATATCAGATAACTATATGTGTGGATGGGTGGCAGGTGGAAGATTAGTATGAAGCCGCGTTTCGGGGTGTCATTTCAGCTAATCCACGCATCTCTAATGCACACGCTTTTCAATACTGACTTACATTTATACTGACTTTGATTGCTTTAAATATTTGATTAATTATGCCTTTTTGTTAATAAATCATTTCTCTTTTTAATTAACCTGGTCCACATTATCTTTTTTATTTTACAATTTTGAGCCGGTTGTAATATATCAGTTTTATTTTGGCTAGAATAAAAACAGTTTTTTTTTAAATCCATTTTAAGGTCAATATTAGCCCCTTTAAGCAAAGTTATTTTTCAATTATCTACAGAACAAACCACTGTTAAACAATAGCCCCTTTCACACATACAGACCTTTCCGGAAAATTACCGGCAATTTTCCGGAAAGGTTGTATGTGTGAACTGGTCCTTTTTGAAAATACCGGTAAATTCGTTCTGGCTATTTTGCGGAAAGAGAAGTTGTAACATTACCGGTAATTTGGCGGAATGCTGCGCTGTGTGAATGCAGAAGGAAGATTGCCGGAAAGAGCGCGTGCACGTCTAGAACATGCTGACGTGAGACGTCTGCTTTAACCAATCCGAACAGTCAGACGCATTTACGTCCGCGCGGTTTATGAGAATAAAAGCCTTTGAATATTTTCCCAGACACAATTAGCTGCTAGAAGTTAGTCAGAGAACGTTTATATGTTCTTCTTAATGCCAACTGTGTAAATAATCATCGATAAGATGCTTATGATAAGCCGCTGTTTGTTTACCTTCAAGCTTTGCGTGTGCCCGTGAAACAGCCGTGAACGCCAGCACACACACATATTATGAACATCTGGACATGCGAAAGTGTTTCTCTATATGTTTTCCTCGAAGTTGTTCACAATACTGATCCATCCACAGAGTTTGTAATGTAGTCAAATGCTTACAAATACAAGCGCAGCCGTTAAAAGCTCATTTCTGGCTAATGATGTCAGAATTTATCGCTATTTTGGAATGGATGTGTGAACAGTCTTTTCTGGAAGAATTCCGTAACGGCAGCACCTGTGTGAACAGCACTTTTTTTTAAATTTACCGGTAAAGTCGTTCTGGAAATCTTCTATATATTACCGGTATCACTGTGTGAAAGGGGCTAATGACTTGCCTAATTACCCTAACCTGCCTAATTAACCAAGTTAAGCCTTTAAATGTCACTTTAAGATGAATACTAGTATCTTGGAAAAATATCTAGTCAAATATTCTGTACTGTCATCTTTGCAAAGACAATAAATTCCATGACCCACTGGGAAGCGCTCATTTTCTTTTCACTGTGTAGAAAAGCAGCTCGGTGGGTTTTCGAAAACGAGCCATAATGAGGATTTACACTGAATGATGAAGAGATTCTTCTGGAATCCATCAGTCACACAAGCCTGAAAGAACACATCATAATTACAGCGTGTTTCTCCAATGCATTCCACTTGTTGTGTTTTACTCTCCTTGGTATAAACAGTGTGTTATCGACACATATTGCCGGCTCATTTGCATTCCTGTACTCTTCACAACAGTGTAAGGTCATTTGTAGTGAAATGACAGGCCGTCTTGAATAATTACTGTAGGACAAGGAGGATAGCATGTTTGTGAGCTGGTTGCACAGCTGTTTGTGTGAGCGTTTGATTACATGTGTTCTTCAGCCTCTTATTAATCTTATTGTCAGTGTTTGACAGAGTGATCGTCCCCGTGGAGGTCCTGTAGGAGAATTTACGAGTATCGATCTACTCCAAAAAAACAAGGGGGGAAAGTCTTGAGGGCGTTTGCCAGCACTAAAAAAAAAATTATTTTGCTGCTTGTTCAAACTACTTATTTAAAATGAGCTGAAACTACTCAACTCTTGGGATTTTGTTTGTGGACAGCTTACTTTTTTATGTTCAATACACTTAAGTTATTGTGTTTTGGGATTACATGTGGCTGGAAAGTTTGATGGCTCACTGAAAAAAATTATTCAAAGATGATTCCTTGGATTTACTCAATTTTTTTACGTTAAGTGGTTGTAATCAATTTATTTGGGCTGAATTTAAACAAACAAATTAAGTTGAACATTATTAACCTTAATAAATTTGTTTGTTTAAATTCAACACAAATAAATTGTTTGCAACAGTTCTGCATGCAACACTTTTTTCAGTGAGCTATTTTAAATTTTGAAATCTCATAATAATAATAATAATAATAATATTAATGATAATAATAATAATAATAATAATAATAATGTATTAATTAAGTGATGTATGATTATTATACAAATAAACCAGTAATAATAATATTATGCTTGATAATAAGTAGTCAGTTAGTCAGAGTTGGGTGTAAGGTGTTCCACAGTAACGTGTTACTCTATTCTAATTACATTTTTGAGGAACGCAGTAATGTAACGATTTACATATACATTTGTGTAATTTGATTACAGTTACTAAAGTCATTTCATTCATTTCTTTTCGGCTTGGTCCCTTATTAATCTGGGGTCACTACAGCGGAATAAACCATCGACTTATACAGCGTATGTTTTTATGCAGCAAATGTCCTTCCAGGCAGCTGCAACCCATCACTGGGAAACATCCATACACACTCAATCACACACATACACTATGGACAGTTAAGCTTACTCAATTCCCCTATATTGCATGTGTTTGGACTGTGGGGGAAACCAGGGCACCCGGAGGAAACCCACGCCAACAAGGGGAGAACATGCAAACTCCACACAGAAACGCCAACTGACCCAGCCAGGACTCAACCTTGTGACCTTCTTGCTGTAAGGTGCTAATCACTGAGCCACCGCACCGCCCTCATAAAATAAATAAATGAATAAAGTCAAATGAAGATAAGATACTGAGATAATATCTATCTCTCCGTGACACACAATGGAAATCTTGAATAAATAGTCATGAAAAAAATGAATATCATGAAATACAATAAATATCAAGGTCTTCTGGGTTGAAGTAAAATGATATTCATTAGGCCAGTTTTATTTTTTTTTATTTTATTATTATTATTAGCCCCTTTAAACATTATAAATAGTTTGAACATTAACACTGTACTGTGTATATACACTTGAAGTCAGAATTATCAGCCCCCCTGTTTATTTTTTAACCCAATTTCTGTTTAACAGAGCGGATTTTTTTATCCAACAAAAGGATTTATATATATATTTAACAGAGAGATGATTTGTTTCAGCACATTTTTAATCATAATAGTTTTAATAATTCATTTCTAATAACTGATATATTTTATCGTTGCCATAATGACAGTAAATAATATTTGACTAGATGTTTATTAAGACACTTCTATACAGCTTAAAGTGACATTTAAAGGCTTAACTAATTAGGTTAACTAGGCAGGTTAGGATAATTAGGCAAGTTATTGAATAAAAATGGTTTGTTCTGTAGACTATTGAAAAAAATTATATATATATATATATATATATATGTATTTGGGCTGCACAATATTAGAATATATATTGATGTATATGATATATATTATGTATATGATATTTATTGCAATATGAATACAGTTTCAACAGATGACTTGAATATCTCAGTTTGAAAAAAATATATATAATTTTAGATTGATTAGGATGATTCTTTCGGTGAGCACATCTGCATATAATCTAATAAACATTTTATAAAATATACATTTACAGTTGAAGTCAGAATTATTAGCGCTACCCATTTTCTATTTAATGGAGAGGTTTTTTTTCAACACATTTCTGAACATAATAGTTTTAATAACTCATCTCTAATAACGAATTTATTTTGTCTTTGCCATGATGACAGTAAATAATATTTGGCTAGATATTTTTCTATACAGCTTAAAGTGCTTAACTTTAATTAGGTTAACTAGGCAGGTTAGGGTAGTTAGGCAAGTTATTGTTTAATGATAGTTTGTTCTGTACACTATCAAAATAAATAAATAAATAAATTGAGCCTAAAGGGGCTAATAATTTTGACCTTAAAATGGTGTTTAAAAAATTCAAAACTGCTTTTATTCTAGCCGAAATAAAACAAATAAGACTTTCTCCAGAAGAAAAAATATTATCAGACATACAGTGAAAATTTCCTTGCTCTGTTAAACATCATTTGGAAAATATAAAAAAAAGAAAAACAATGTAAAGGGGGGCTAATAAATCTGACTTCAACTAGAGCAAAGTCATGATAACACCACTGCAGTAGTACTGATACTGCAGACACTCTTTCAGAGGTTTATTTCTACTCTGAATAAAAAACGATTAACTGGATTTACATTTTTAAAGGTTAGTGGTTCCAAATCATTTATATGGGTGAATTTAAACAAACACATTACATTTAGTGATATTCAACTAAATGTTTTAATTCAGCCCATATAAATTGTGTGCAACCACTTACCGTAAAAAAATTGTAAATCCAAGGTACCATTTTTTCCAGCTTACACTTGTAAACATTTTACTTTATAGCCAAAAGTGTTTGCCACGCCTCTTTCAACGCGTAGTGATCGCGTTCGCCCTGCCCCTTTTAACTCATAGCACTCGCGCTCACCCCTCCCCTTTAAACGCGTAGTGTCCGCGTTCTCCCCTCCCCATTCGAACGCGGAGCAGACGCATTGGTGCTGAGGAGACGCGCGGATAGTAACGCCACAGTCAGAGGCGTGAGGACGACACGATTCATCCACAGCACAGCCGCGAACACGGCAAAAAATGCAGCTCTCAGCACATTATAAAGCATAAGCGCTTCGTGTGATGGATGTTTGCGCTCCCGGCGGATGGATTAACACGGTAAGAGCATCTCTGCGTGCAGTGCGCGCGACAGTCGAGCGCAGCTTTTCTGACATTGACATTGAAAGCACGCGCATCGATATCTGACAGATGACATTATCAGATTTCACACAGATCTGTCAGTCCGTTTTTTTTTTTTTTGGTGTTGAAATGATCTGATGGCTGAGGTTGGAGCAGAGTTGCGCATGATGCTGCGGGTTATGAATGCATGAAACCTCCAGCTTCGTGCATCCACATTGATTCATCTATTTAATCCCTATAATCTGCGAGATGCGCTCTTTGTGAACTACTATCTTGTGCATGCAACTTTGTGCACGTAGAGCTCGTTTCTCGTGTGCAATGACGTCATTGGTTTTTATTATTACTATTATTAGGGTTATGTAACGCGGTCGTGTGTGTATTTTTTTTTCGACGTCAGGAGATGCACAGCCAGTGCTGGGGATCCTACTAGTGAAAGTGAACTAACCTCTAATGATGCCTGATGAAATGGTCTACTTGTGTCACGTGATGTGGGATGCTCTGGGCTGTACGTCATGGAGACTGTAATGTTAATGCTGGAGCTGCAGTGAGCGGCAATCCCTCTCTCTCATGCATGCCTTAAAGATATCATAAGGAAAACTCCACCATCTACTCACTGTAGGTACAAACTTGGGTTTTGGATAAGTCAAATGTTATTTTTTAGGGTCTTTCACGTGCATGTTGTGGCTCGGCTGCAATTGATGATTTTGGCCGTCTATTTAAATGCATATAACTTTGCTTGTCCAGCTCCTGTGATTATTAAGTGCACTACTTTAAAATATTACAGGCATGAAATAATATAATTACAGTAAATGCAAAGTGAAGGTTTTTTTTAGGTGACAATAGCAGAAAAAACATATTTAAATGCACCTTGAAGTGCTTTTGTGTTGTCCGTTAAAAATTGCACTGTTGTAGTTGCATTATAATATTATTTTATACCTTTTTATTTTTTTAAATTATGCATTCATTAATTTTCTTTTCGGCTTATTCGCTTTATTAATTTGGGGTCGTCACAGCGGAATGAACCGCCAACTTATCCGGCATATGTTTTACACAGCGAATGCCCTTTCAGCTGCAACCCATCTCTGGGAAATTATTTAATTAATGCTATTATTATTATTATTTATATTATTATTAGTAGTATTAATATGTTTTTGTTAAACAATCTTTTTTTCAAATGCCTTTGACTATAGTCCACCTAAATTATTATTAATGGTATTTATTAAAATAAATATTTAAATATTGTCGCAATACCATTAATTAATCTTACGATACTGTACCAGCTGAAAAATCACAATAACAAGTAGTATTGCGATACTGTAATTTATAACTCAAATTATAAAATAAAATGTCAGAAATACTATGTTTTATGTTGTAATAGGCCTACTTAAATGTAATTTATATTTCCCTTAAGGCTAAACATTAATATTTACATCCCACTTCACCTAAAATGTATTCATGCTTTTTGTTTGTTTTGTAGATAACTGACCAAGAAAAATACATTAAAATAAAGATGCAAATTATACAGAATCAAATTTGTTACGATAGAGTTACATTTTTTCCAACAAAATTAGTCTATATGAAGTGTTCAAAAAGTGTTTCAATTAGCGGTCGGCCTTTATCGGCGTCAACACGAGACTTTTATTGCTCTATAAAAAAATTAAAAATCGGCATTAATCTATTCTCAAAGTTGGGTTGGGAGCTGGGTCTATTCTACGCAAGCTATAATGACTTTCACCTTGATATTTTAGAGCGAATGTATACCTGACCGGTGAGCCGACTGACAAAACAAGTGCCCTTCTGAATCATATCAGCAGGATGCCTGAATTTAACTGCAGTTCGGCAGCTTCAATTTAACACATGAACATTTCATTCATACAAATATCATAATTCAGGAGGGCTAATAATTCTGACTTCAACTGTATTGGGCAATGCAATGGAAACTTTTGGATTAAGACTGCGTTGATTCATTCGTATGTTGTAGGCTCTCCTTTTGTAATTAATACAGCATCAGTTTGTCTTGGGAATGACAGATAGTACTCCTGCACTGTGGCTAGGGGAATTTTGAGCTATTCTTCTTGCAGAATAGCGTTCAGGTCACTGGTGGTGGAGGAAAACGTTTCCTGACTTACTCCCCCAAAACACCCCAAAGTGGCTCAATAATATTTAGATCTGGTGACTGTGCAGGCCATAGGAGGTTCAATTTCACTTTCATGTTCATCAAACCGCTCTGTCAGCAGTCTTGCTGTGTGTATTGGTACACACAACACATTCAATAGTTGAAGCAATTGCTGCACATGGTCCTCCAGAATGGTTTGGTAGTACTTGGCAGTGACGTGAGCATCTAGCACAAGTATTGGGTATAGAGCAGGGGTGTGCAAACTTTTTGGGGCGAGGGCCAGATGCAAAAAAAAAAAAAAAAACGTTGTCCCAGGTCAAATTTTACATACATCACACAGACATGCATATATATATGTGTGTGTGTGTATATGTGTGTGTGTGTGTATATATATATATATATATAAATATATATATATATATATATATATATATATATATATATATATATATATATATATATATATATATATA